TGCTGCTGCAGTTGCTGCGCCAGGAAGAGTAGCTGCTTGTGTTGCTGCTGCTGCTCCTGCTGCTCCTGCTGCTGCTGCTGTTGCTGTTGCTGTTGCTTTTGCTGTTCTTCATCAGCCTCCAGTACCTGAGAGGGGCTGCCGGTGCCTCCTTCCTGCATGCACTGCTGCTGCTGCTTCTGCTGCTTCTGCTGCTGCTGCTGCTGCTGCGGGTCCTTGGTGGAGCCAGTAGCCTGCTGCAGCAGCAGCAGCAACTTGTACATTGTATCGCATGCATCCTTAGATAATTGATTGTCTTTTGCTGCTGCTCTGTCTTGCTTCTCCTTTAGTTCTTGCTGCTTCTGCTGCAGATCTATGTGCTGCTGCTGCAGCAGCAGCTGCTGCTGCTGCAGCAAAACCTCCCGCTCGCGCAGCAGCTGCTCTAGCTGCTGCAGATCTGCCTTCTGTGCTGCTAACTCTTGGAGCTGCTGCTGCTGCTGCTGCTGTTGCTGCTGCTCCTTCTCTGCGAGTTGCTGCTGTTTAGTACTAAGTTCCTCCCTCATATGTTGCAAGTGCTGCTGCTGCTGCTGCTGCTGTTCCTTGTCATGCTGCTGCTGCTGCTCCTGCTTCTGTAGCTGCTGCTGCTTCTGCTGCAGCTCAGCCTTCAATTTTGTTACTGCCTTTGCCTCATCTCTTAGCTGCTGCTGCTGCTGCTGCAGCTCCTGCTGCACCGCCTCCTGCCGTATCTCAAATAGCTGCTGCTGCTGCTGCAGGGCTGCCTGGTGCTGCTGCAACTCGTGCTGCTGCTGCTGCAGCTCCTGCTGCTGCTGCTGTTGCTGCTTCTGCTGCTCCTCATGCTCACGCTGGCTGCGCTCGTAGTCTTCACTCAGCTCATCAAAGTCTTCCCTTAGTTGCTGCAAACACAACAGCAGCAGCAACAGCAGCAACAGCAGCAGCAGCAGCAGCAAATTGTCTCATAGATCTAGCAACAGAGTACCAAAGGCTGCAGCAAAGAGCAGACTATAAAACTAGAAGAAGCAGCAATTGTTGCTGCTGCTGAGGCATACACAGAGCAGCAGCAACAGCAACAGCAACAGCAGCAGCAGCAGAAGCAACAGCAGCAGCAGAAGAAGAAGCGTGTGTCACGAGCTGTTAGAATTACCTCGAGTTCGCGAGACTGCAGCAGCAGCTGCTCTTCCTTCTGCTGCAGCAGCTGCAGCAACTCGGAAGCTTCTGCAGCAGCAGCAGCTGCTGCTGCTTCTGCTTCTTCTCCCGAATCTTTAGCTTCATCCTCAGCAGCTTGCTGCAGACAGATGAGTCGTTGCTGCTCGAGCTGCAGCAGTTCTGCTGCTGCTGCTGCTGCTGCTGCTGCTGAATTCGACGGGGTACCCCCCCCAGCTGAAGGCATTAAAATTGAGGAAACATATCTTTGCTGATTTCTTTATGAATGAATTTCTTTGCTGCCTTTTTATTTATTGGGGTGTACGTACAGCTGCTCACCAGCAGCAGAGAAGAAGAACGGTACATGCATGCATGATATGGGTATATATACACAAAAAAATCCTCTTTTGAGTCTATTTAATGTTTTTATTTAAATATATACATTTAGTCATTTAATTCCTCGGGTTTTTTCCCTTTTTACACCGCTGCATGCAGCGGTTTCCTTCCGTGTTGCTACCGGTCGCCGCTGTTGACCGTCCGTTGAGCTAAGGGAAGAAAGCAGAGGAAAGAGGCCTTAAAATGCATGCATTTTCTTTGTATAAAGAAACAAATGAATAAAAATATAAAATAAAGAAATAAAATCAAAAGAAACTCCTATTTTTACACAAAAAGTCCTCTGAAATACTGCAGCACGAATGGTCATTTATATTATATACAATAATTAGCTGTACATACACCGCAAATAAGCTGTTGGTTATAATTATATAAAAAGGAAATAAAAAGAGGAAAAAAATAAACAAATAAAAAGATAAATATAAATATAATTCTTTTTTATTTTGTCTTTATTTATATTTAATTTATTTTTCCCCTTTTTTTTGTCTATTTGTTGCATTTTCCTCACAGAAGGAAGAAAGTTGAATATTCAATAACTTCTCCTTCCTTCTTTATTCCTTTTTTTTATTCCTTTCTTTTTTTTTATGTATAAAAAATAAATATATTTTTATTTATTTTAATTTAATTATTTATTTATTTTTATTAATATAAATATAATACAACAAATATAAAGGAAAAGGAAGGGAATAAATAAAAAAGATATATAAAAGGAAGAATAAAAATAAATAAATAAATAAAATAAATAAATTATACTTATATTTATTTATTCTTTTTTTTTTTATTTATTTTTTATTTAAATAAATTTAATTAATTGCTAATAGCAACAGCAGCAACACCGCTAATACTACATCTTAGCTAATACTATATAAATATAAATAAATAAATAAATAAATAAATAAATAAATAAATAAAT